AGTTTATTAAAAATATATAAATTAAATTAAAAATTTCTTTGTGATATGAAAAACTTTTAGCGATAATAAAAATAACCTGTCACCTTATTGATTATTAATATCTAACAAGAAAAATAAAAAAATTAAGAAATATTTAAAAAAAACTAATATTGTTATTGAGGTCGATGTTGATGAAGAGATAGAAAAGAGTAACTTATTATTTATTTTATGATTATGAGTATTTCTAGTTACATTTATTATGATTATTTTATTTTATCATTCTTTAATTCAAATAATTGGATTGATTTTAAAAAATCACCATTATTTTATATTTGCATATTCATTAATATTTTAATTTGAGCATGCTTATATTTTAATGCACAGATGGATATAGTTGTTTTCGTTTTATTTAATTTATGTTTACATTTACTAAAATTCAAGTTAGTTGTGACTCATTATTTATATTTGTCGATATCCGTTTCTTATTCTCTACCTTCTATATACGATGCCATAGGGATATTAACTTATAAAATAAATAAAACTTATTTATTAGGTATTTTATCCAAAATTTATGATTTCTACAAATACCCTATGCGATCAAATGTATTGATCTAGACCATATCAATTAGTGTTACAGATATTCAGCCTTTTTAAAAAATGTGCCATACACGATGGATCTTACTCAATGAGTATAAAACTGGAATGATTAGTAAGCTTTATATGAAATAATCAACTCTAAAGATAATAATGTGTTTTCAGAGGCATTATAATTATCTAATCAATAAGAGTTTATCTTTGTTGTGAATTAACAAATTATTTTCTTTTGCCTCAATACTTGTTTTTTAATATTATTTTCTAGTTAATATAGATGTGCACAGCAATTAGTATACTCAATAAAAAAATTACTATATTCAACTTATATTGTTTGAAAATTTTTTTAAGCCAAGGCAAAGCCTTTCTCTGAAAGAAAGAAAGAAAGAAAGAAAGAAAGAAAGAAAGAAAGAAAGAAAGAAAGAAAGAAAGAAAGAAAGAAAGAAAGAAAGAAAGAAAGAAAGAAAGAAAGAAAGAAAAGGCAGAAAGATAAAGAGAAGGAAATAAATGAATAATTTTTTTTAAACTCAATTGAAATATCGATATATTGAAATCTATCTGATTTGTTAAGCACAAATATTCGTAAGAGACTATATATTAGAAGATGATAATGACATCATATAAATATGGTCTTATCAAACTTGATTATTGTTATTTATCAAAGAAAATAGTTTCTAACACCCAATATCAAAATATTTCAATAAATAATATTTTTTTTCCATTTGTATGAAAAATGGTGGCGTAAGTCGGGAAGCGTTTTTTTTAAAAAAAAATATTATTTCAAAATAATTAGTTTGGAATGCCCTTTGTAATATTACAAATCTCCACAAATTTTTAATCTCTGGAGATTTAATAAAATAAATATTATTTTCAGAATGCTCTCAAATGATACTTTTGATCAGATGTTAACTACAATTTCAAAAAATATTTCATAAGTAAATGTTTGACAATTTTATGAATAAAAAATCTCCTAGAATCACATAAGTATTTCATTTTTTTAAATATGAGACTGGATGTTTCTGGTGGTAGTATGAATACTTTTATAATATAGTAGAAAAATGCAGTCAAATATACTTGGGTCTTTGGAAAATGTGATACCAAAATAAGATTGATTGGCTAATCGTGAAATTGAAAACGATTGTAATCTATATTTTTACCCTTAAGCCCTAAGGTTGAGCGGTTATTTAGTCAAATAATAAATACATTAAGTGAGTTTTTACATTTGGAAATAATGTCATGAGTTAATCCCATATGAATTAAGCCTCTCTGAAAGGCGTCATGTTTTTCAAATTTTCAAATATTATTTTATATAACAAAATATTTTATATGAAAATTTGATTAAAAAAATTAAATGTGTTTTTAGTATTTGTTTGTTAGGATTCTTTCGTGCACTTATAGAAGAAGATGTTTCTGAAATAATTTTATAGAAATGGAAAAATAAGGAAGGGGCTTTATCAATTTAGAAGAAATGAAAACATAAAATTAATAAGAAAGCGCAAAATTTTATCTAATCATATTTTCATATGGAGCCTTCTCTATCCTCTGCCATTACTACACAGTATCAGCACAAGGGGGGGGGGGTGGCACCTAGTGGTCGAATTTCCTGAAAAATTTGAAAACTTGATACAGATCATTTTAACATTGAATAGATTGTAGATTACATAAGGGCAATCCACATAAACTCAATTGAATGGGCCAAGCCCTAATTATTATGTGTTATTTAAATAGTTAATTAAGCATTTTGTAAAATCATTATTTTCATGTTTAAGAATCAACACTGATAATCTTTTTAACGTGCCTTAGATTCTAATTTAAAATACAAATTTAAATATAAAATAAATCTCTTAAATTATGAAAAAAATTTAAAATATTTTAGTCAGAGAAGTTAACGGGCTACTTTTGAGGTAAGATATTGCTCGTGAAGTTTATGAACATATTATTAAAATCTCTTCTAGTGTATATATATTTATGAAATATATGTATTATAGTTTATTCTAATTCAATAAAGAAACTTATTACCTTTATGAGTAAAAGCTACTATAAGGATCGATGACATAAGTGCTATTGTGAATAATGCTAAATTCAATCGGAAATTTTGATCAGCCATTTCAAATCGTTTTTGTTAATGTAATTTTATAAAAACTGGTGTGTATAATCCTTTTTTTAAATAACCGAATGTTTACAAATTTTAATTAAAATATATAAATATATGATTAAAATATTAACTAAGTGAAAATATTTCAATTTTTTTTTTAAAAAATATGAACTTTAGTATTTTAACAAATATATAAAGAAATTGTTTAGAAAAAATTTTAAAAAAATATTAATTAATTTTTTTATTAACTTGCCTAATATAATCTTAATTTTAAGTTATAACAAAGATATTATTTGAAATACTGCTGCAGTCAGCAGCGCTACATATGAGAGAAGATAAATAGATTTGTTAAGGTAAATGGATAATTAGTTTATAAAATACTAAATTTTTGAGAAAATTATTGTAAAATCATACAAGCTTGGCCCTGAATTAAAAAAAAATTTTTTTTGTAAGGCTCAAATTTTTTAAAATTTTGATTATTTATTATGGCCCGCCTATTTTTAAAATTTTTTATATTTTAAATAAATTTAATGTGTTTTTTGAGATATAAAAAGTATTATAAAAAAAAATATTATTTTATTTTAACAAAATAAAAAGATCTAAAGATAATTTAACTTTAAAAATAATTTATATATTCATCGAAAATATCAATTATTATATAATTGTAAATTTATCCTAAAATTAAATACAATTTATTTAAAGTTAATACATTACATTTAGCTCTGTTTTGTTTAAAATTTGCTTCAAATAAAAATTTTAAACTTGAAATTACAATGAATGAATTAATGTTAAACGATTCATTATAAAGTTCTCTGATATCTCTTTAACCAATCGAGTTTTTTTAAAAGCGATCATACCTACAAAAAATTTATTTTACCTTTATTATTTCGATCTTCTTTATCAAATATCAATTTTACAAATTTGATATATCTTTTTTAGTTTGTAATAAATAAAATATTGTATTTTATCTGCTAATCCAACTTTAAGCGTAAGTAAGTGTAAAGCGCTTTTAAAAATTTACCATTCTTATAATAAAGTTCTGGGTAGTGTAAAAGTTTCAAAAACTTTGGATCGTTAATATATCTGTTAGGGTCTATGTGTTTTTTCCGGCAATGTATTATTTTCAACTTTAAATCATTTTTTGAGCGCGTTTTTTAAATTTCAAAATCTTATTATCCCGGAAATGTATGCCATCATGTAGTACCTTTAAAAAAATTTAACCCGCCCTCCCAGCCCACCTATAGTTTTTAAAAAAATATATACCCGCCCGCCACGCCCATTTATCTAGATTCCTTACCCGCCCGCCCATACGCCCATTAGTCTAAAAAAATTTATTATTTATAAAAAAATTTTAACCCAAGCCCGCTTATAAAATTTAATTATGGTCATTCTTTCATTTTTTTAAGCATCTAATAAAAAATTTCAGCATTACACCTCTACAAAAAGTTTATAATTTAGGAAATTAATATAAGTATAAAAATAATCAATGTAAATTATGGTCAATTTTATAAATGTAAAATTAATATTATATGTAATTATAATGCAAAAATAATAATGAATCGACAATTTCTGGATTCAAACACGTTCTTCCTATCTTCCAGCAATGCTAATCCCGCGTTCGGAAGAAGCACTAGAAAAGTTTTATTACATTCCCATAAAAGGAAATTTTTAATAGATAAAAATGTTTATTTATTCTAAGAAAAAAGTTTTATTGTTGTGTTTATTACATAATATAGTTAAGTAAATGTTCTTCATTTAAAAAAAACGATTGATACAATAAAAAAAGAAATATTGTTATAGATCATTAAAACAACTATTTTTTTTAGTATTTTTTTGAACAAAAATTTTAAATTTCCTTAACCCGCCCACCCAGCCCGCCCATAGTTTCAAAAAATTTTTAACCCGCCGCCCACCTGTCCATTCTCAAAAATTTTTTTACCCGCCCATACGCCCGCCTATTTAGAAGGGCGGGCGTAGGCGGGAGGGCCGAAATCCCGCCCAATGCAGACCTCTAGTACCTACCTTATAGATTTTAGATAATTTTTTTATGAACTTTTAAATTTAATATAATTTATGAATATATAAATTTTGCATAAACTTTATATATTTTAATGACCTTTGAAATATATTTTCTTAATTTCTTTTTTTTTAATTTATTTAATGGCCTTCTATATTTTCCTGATTTTCGTAAATGTTAATTTAATTTAAGGACGAATTTGTTAAAATTTAACCTTTTAAAAAACTTATGTAAAAAGTGTAAATTAAAAAATTGTATATATATACATATAAAATTGTAAAGTTTTTAGTTTTTTTAGTACTTAAAATAAAATAAAAAATTTTAATTTTACATTTTGTACTTTTACTTGCCTTCCGTTGTTCTAAAATGGTGGCAGCGAAGTCTAGCGTGATTTTAGATACTGGAACAGGGTGAAACTAGACGAAAGAGGATTTTGGAAAATGATGTTAATATAATTCTAAAAACACGTAAGAGATGATTATAATATAAAATTAAAAATAAATAATAATAAAATTTTATTGATGAAATATTTAAAATATGAATAAACCTATATAAGACAATAATGATAAAACAAAATCCATAGATTAATTAGAAGATTATTTAGATAATAAAAATTTTTTTAAGGATGATGAAATACGATGAGCACGATAAAGGGATGAAGTCTCGTACACGGATATCAGTGGAAACCGAGATAAGATTCGAGACATACAAATAATTAAGAACAAGATATCGAAACAATTATAATCCTAGAGTTTATGATAATAGGGGGTATAATGGGCCAGGACCGTATAATAAGTTTACAAGATTTAACAATAAAAATAATTATAATAACTACTACAATAACTATAGATATAATAATAATGATAATTACAAATGTAATAAAATAATTATAGATATTATAGACATCAGAAAGAATCGAGATACATACCTAGATACAATAACAGAACAATAATCAGTCATACAACAATAGATTTGACGTAAATAAAATGGATGGACAAGGCAAATGATGATTACAAATTACGATATACCTTAATGATTTACCAATAGTCATGCAGATCAACACTGGGTCGCGTTATTCAATATTACCGATTAATATTGCTAGAAAGATAGGAGTTAATGTCTTGAATAAATCGGATACGAAACTGACTGGTTATGATGAAAAAAATAGAGGTGTTAGGAATCGTTAAAATAAAAACGAGATATGAAGACAAAACTCAAAACTTAGATACTTTTATAGTCCAAAATGACAAGATTGCAATTCTGGGAAGGACGTGGATAAATGTTTTTGGAAACATACCTAATAAATTTGTAAATATAATCGAGGAAAATAAGTTGATAGTAAAAATTATTAAGGTACATATTACAATAAAAAGCATTAAAATTATAATTATAGATATCATAATAATAATAACTTGAATAAAATTGATTCTTATAAATTAAAAGAAATAAATCATATGATAATAATTGATGAAATAATAGTGATTAAAAACAATAATGAAATAAAAATTAGAGAAAATAATTAAATAAAAAATTTCATAATTAATAAAAAATTTAAAAAAACTTTGGAAATAAAGAAAATTAAAACAAATATTAAAAAGAGAGGCAAGGTGATTAAATATCTTGATGTTGAAAAAGAGATTAAGAGTATGATATGGAGATCGTATGTTGAAGTTGGAAGGAGAAAGAGAAATTTTTTTATAAAGAACAAGTTGAAGAAAAATTATGATATAAAAAAGTGTTTAAATTGAAAAATAAAGGAGAAAAATTAAAAAATAAGCAAATAAAAAATATTATTATATAAAAAGAGACAATTCTAAATATTCTATTATTCTATATTCCAAATTATGATTCTTATTCTTATGAATGATTCTGATAAATTATTTATTCCATTATCATTTCAATTATTACAAAATTATTTTATTTGAGATATATTGATCATAATATATATTTACAAACATTGATAACTAAATGATAATAAATAACGAGATGAACAAGCTAATGGGAGGATCATATTCAAGCGAATGATTAGACGATTATGACTCAGGCTAAACAACAACAAAATATCAAATGAAAATTATACTACAAACAAATGAAAAAATTTTTAGAGGTGGAAGAAGTGAACAAGTTCAAGTTCAAAATTCGAAAATTCAAAGTCAAGTTCAAAATTCGAAAATTCAAAGTCAAGTTCAAAATTCAAAAATTCAAAGTCAAGTTCAAAAGCGAAAAAAATTTGTTATAAATAAATAAAATTTTGTAAAAAATATATATATATAATTTTGAAAGAGAAATGGGATGATCAATACAAACAGCAAATCAACAAGCAATGTTCAACCAACGACGTGCAACCAACGATGTTTCATATTGTTTGAGAATCGATTCAACAAACGATAATCAGTTGGTCAAACAAACAATCTAAAGAAATACGAACAAATGACTAATGGAGCAATTAAGAAACGAATGACTGGAAGTGAAGATAAGAAAGTGAGGAAAGAAGACATTTAAAAAAAAAGAAAGAGGGAAATGTTAATATATAAATTTTGCATAAACTTTATATATTTTAATGACCTTTGAATTTTATATTTTCTTAATTTCTTTCTTTTTAAATTATCTAATGAACTTTTATATTTTCCTAATTTTGTAAATGTTAATTTAATTTAAGGACGAATTTGTAAAATTTAACCTTTTAAAAAACTTAATGTAAAAAGGTAAATTTAAAAATTGTATATATATACATATAAAATTGTAAAGTTTTTAGTTTTTTTTAGTAGTTATAAAAATAAAATAAAGAAATTTAATTTTACATTTTGTACTTTTTTACTTGCCTTCTGTTGTTCTAAAAATTTATATTAAATTTTCCATATTATTTTTTATATAAATAATAAATGACTCAAAGGTTAACAGCAAAATTGTCTACAATTCATAAGATAGGTATTCCAAACATGATGAATTATATTTCTGGTAAAATCAAATTTTAAAATGTTAAAAAACGTGCTCAAAAAATGATTTAAAGTTTTAAAAATAATTCATTGACGCTAACATATCCACTAAATTTCCTCAAAAAGAATTTTTAAAAAATTATTCGTATTCCATGAAATTTATATTTTGATTTCTTATATCGAATTAGTTGGTAATCGACCCATGCTCAAATCTCTAAAGGTAATTTTATTGAGTGACAATAAAATAACACATATCGATGTCGACTATTTAATCTGCACGAAAAACGGAAATAGATCGTAAACCTTTAGAATAAAACAATGAAATACAAGATCAATACAGAAATTTACTTTTTTACGATATCTGTAACTATAGTATTGTTAGCCTCGATTAGATTTTTATAAATGGCTAATTCAAAATTTTAGCCAGAAAAATAATGTCTAAGCCTAGAGATGTTGCTAATAAATGTCCCATCCTTTACCATCTATGAGAAAAGTTTTCAGAGGGTTGCGTGTTTGATATGAGGATTTTGAGAATACAAATTGAATAAATAAAATAAAATTACAATTAATATTATTTAATAAAGTAATTAGTATTTTTTATTTATTCTATTTTATTTGTATTCTCAAAATTCTCATCTCTAAAACGGAATATTTTAATATTTTCCTGGATAAAATAATGAGTTATCCATTTTTTATAAATACACTCAAATTAATCTATTTAACCCATCACCGAAAAAAGTTTTATTTGAAGTCAAGCATGCCTAAAAAAGATTGTTTTTGGTGATATCTATTAATTACCAAATAATTTATACTTTAAATTTTACTAAAATTATCCAAGGAGGTGCCTAGAATCATTCGTAATACATTTTATATTGTATGGAGATCAGATCAAGTTAAATAAAAAGAAAGAATGGCGCATAGTTGAAATTTTAAATTTGATTTATTGAAGTTTGGACAAATATTTAAATTTTATTTGATTAACAATTTTTTTTTTTTAAATACAAATTTGTAAAAGTAATTGTAATGTAACCAGCGCCGCTTAGCAAATAAAAATTTTAATATCATATTTATTATGTTAATATATTAAATAAAATATGAAAAGAAATCTAATAATAATATTGAAAAGGATTCATTCTTCTTGTTCATATTTTCTTCTATCCGTTTCCCAAGACTCCATTTAAATCCAAAGAGTACATTTGTTGAGAGGATTCATGTTGGCTTTAGCAGAACAGTTAAATGCCTTTGAGAACTGTTTTAAGTTAGATACAACTCCGTTAATTCTATGAATTATTATTAAATATATTAATTTTATTTTTTATCAAAGATTTATATGGAATCTTCGAGTCTATTCCCTATTTGTTATTTTTCCAAATTTATAATTTGAGTTATGACAGAGAAAAAAAATGGGAGGCCAGGTTTGGGTTGCTTTTACTCCCTCCATATTTTTAACTCTCCATAGGAGCTTACCACCCTGCTTTCAATAAAAGATGTATAAAGGCATGGCTCTTACCCCCTGACTCCGATCATTAAGACAGTGGTTTTGGACATGATTATAGATGCCTTAATTAATTTTTGACTAAATATTAAACATTTTATCTTACTTAATAGCTACTTAAAAATGCGGTAAAGTAATGTTCATTAATAAATGTGTCTCTATTTTTGAAAAAGTATCTTTTTTAAAAGCCTGATTTATTTTGATACGTTAATCTTTATTTAAAAAATGGAAAAATTTTAGTGTATGAATTATACATTTATTTATTCTTTTTGATTTTAATGAAATAATAATTTATTTAATTTCTACTATACAAATTATATATCTATTATCTAACATTAAAATCGTTTAAAAATTTGTTTAAAAAATTGCTATTCATCTTTTTTAAAAAATTTTAATAACCCCTTAGGACACATCAAACGCACCCAAATATTACCATTTTATCCAGAATCAAGAAATAAAATAAGAACCCCTTGGACGACATAAGGCTTTATAAAAAGTTTATAATTATTCTGGATCGTAAAGTTTTGAAATCCAATAAAAACGAGTTCATAAAAGAACGCTATAATTTAATTTTGCCAAATAAAACTATTCGATAAACAATGATAATAATTTGATTGGTCCAAATATTGTTGAAATTTGGTTAGAATAAATTGCTAGTAATATCATTAAACCATATTTTAAAAAAATATAAATTTAAGCCTAGCTTATTTCTAGTGTATAGGCGAAATAATAGTCAAATTCTTGTATTCATAAACATCTGTCACTTTGCCAGTAAAAATAATGCTGCCCCCAGGAATGGATATAGCTAGCTATATATTTAATTTAGATAGTGTATCGTTACATGGTGTTTGCAATCCGGTCCAGTTCGGTCTCATCTGAATATTGAGTTCGACGAGACGGTCCGATCAGATGGTCCGGACAGGTCCGACCGAAGACCTATTAAAAAAGATAAAATTTTACTATGAATTGCTTTTTTACTTAATGTCTATGTTCATGAACACATAAAACATGATTATTTAATGTCTAACACTTTATAATATCTCATTCATCGTTTGCTTTTTTTATTTTTCCTTTTCATTCATTCGTCAAGTAATTTAATTTATTAGAAATGGAAATTTAAATCATAGAAAATGATAATATTATTGAATCACCATCCTCAGCTAAAGATTAACTATTGATTTAAAAATATAGTGTTTAGTGCAAATGAAAATAATCGTTCAAATTCAAATTTGAAAATATGTTAAAGAATATATAAATTTTTTGAAAGGATAATTCTGGGAAGACATGTAAAATATGTCGCCAGATATTTCCCAATTCTTCAAGCACAAGTAAATTATTATCAAATGAGCTCATAATTTTAAATAGATGAATAAAAAACAAATAAACCTACTTATAGTTACGATTAGAGATGGAAACAAAATAAAAACCCAAGATTAACGAAATGTATCAGTATTGGATGGATAAAAAATGGAATAATTTTTTGATTATTTTAAGAAATCAGTTTTATTTTATAACCAAAAACTAATATATATGCGAATCAAATTGACTTAAATTATTTTCAAAAAATTAGTGGTTTTTAATTTTTTTGAATAAATAATATAATAAAAATTTGAGATATAATTAAAATATTGGTAATTTAACACATTTCATTATTAATATTGTAGCTCAACAAAAAAAAAACATTTTTAGACGTGATCGGACCGACCAAACCGGACTTGACTGACGGTAGTCCATTAGTCCAGTTTCATTTTAGAAAAAAGGACCGAACAAGACGGGAACGGATCTTTGCAAACACTATCGTTACTAACTATGGGAAAGTGAGATTAATTTCGTAGAAAACACCCTAATATTTTAATAGGAAAATATTGCTACAACTCGATCCAATCAAACTTTAGTCATTGTTTATAAAGTTGTACCTTTGCCTTTTCATAATAAAACGTTTACAAATAAATTAAAATAATCCGACATTTTATTTGACAGACACATGGAAAATGAATAAGTAACCTGTATTTTTTTGGGCTGTGTAAATCAATTGTAATTTCCAATAATTGATTCTCCAGTGTTTCCTTAGAACAGTATATCTTATTTCATTTATAAATATATAATATTTTTTTTAAAATTTATTTTAAATAAACTTGAGCGTAAGCAAGGAAAAAGAGTTGTTCATCTGTTATATTGGACTTGGAAGAGTATATGGCACTCTTGTTCATGGCTTGATAACTTTTCAAAGCCTATTTAATTTTCATAAAAACTTTATATTGATCTAAAAAAAAACAATCGTCTAAATAAATAATAAGCGAATAAGTTTTTAGGCCATGTCCTGGTCGACCTAATTTAGATATTCTAGGCTAAAAAACTTTTAAACTAGGACATCCAGGGGTATGAAAATTTCACAATGCGTCATTTTTATATGCTCTCTCTTGCTTTATCTATTGGAATAAATTAGAAAATTGGCTAAATGTAGTATTAATTTTCTTTATTTTAAATCGTGAGTTTTAAGATAGATAAATAGAAATTACCTTATATGTGTTCCTTAAACAATTGCTATATACTTTTTATAATTTTAAATTATCAATACATTATAATACATATAAATTACATTATTTAGTAATTTTACAAAATGAAAACCTATATAAACCCGTTTAAACAAGTTTATTGAGATTTAAAGAGATAACATTTTTTAAAAAGGTTCAGTTCAGGTTTTCCGTTAGGAACTCTGGTAAATTTACAAAATCCATATTGTTAATGAGGTCGATAATTTCTTTATCATATCCTAAAGACATTTTGATTTAACGTGATTTTTTTATTATCGATTGATTTTCTTTTCTTTTCTTTTATTTCTCATTTTCTTTTCATTCAAATTTTATTTTTAAACGACTCGTTTTGAGCCTATTTTTAAAACGGCTAACTCAATATTTTAGTCAGAAAAATAATGTCTAAACCTCAAGATTTCGATAATATATGTCCAGACCTTTGTTCCTTCTATGAGCAAAATCTTCAGGCTTGGGTAATATTTTTTTGGGTGAAGTATTGAGTTAGTCGTTTTTAAAAATCGGATCAAAACGAGCCATTTAATCACACCAACTATTATCTTAAATTTGACTTTTAAGATATTTTTTTGTTAAATTTATTTTGATTTTGATTGAATCAAGTTAAAAAAATTTTAGTATTATTTACAGAAAAATAATTCAATATCAGGATCATATGTGATCTGAAAAAAAAAATATTTAATTAAGTGTAATATTATTCGATCTAAAAATAACAAATTCCCATCATTATTTCATGTTACATATAATCGAATAATCTTATTTCTGATAATTATACTTGTAATGATATAAAAACCCCTCCGTTATCTGCTATATCTTCCCCTAGAGTTTGTTCGAAGTTCAGCTTATATATATTTTTATTGATTAAAAGTGAGAAGAAAAAAAAATTGTATTATAAAAAAAAATTAAAAGAATGACAAGTTATAAATAATGACTAAATAAACATTTTTTTTTTGATAATAATCTTCCGCTATATAATTATCTAATATCTTTATAAATATTTATTTTAGTAATTTAAAATTATAACTAAATTCACTTATAGTTAATTTAAATTGCCATAAATTATAATTATATAAAACATCACGTGATACATTAATCAATCAATTAGCTATTATACTACTTAACTAATAGACTTATAGGCATACATTCAATCAAATAAAAACTTTATCTAGTTCAGTCAAACCTGTCTAATTTGAGAAATTGGACCAAGGGCATTGCCTAACATAGGCAGTTGCCATATTTATCAAGACTTTTTTTTTACTTTAAAAAATTATTTTATCATCTGTTTTAGTTTTGCAAAAAGTAAGATAATGTTCAACTATTCTCAAATAATTCTTTTATTTTTTTTTATTAATTCATCAAAATATGAATAGTTTATAAAATTTCATAATACAAATAAGTGAATACAGTAAAAAAACAAAAAATGGCTACTTTATATAAGTAAACAAAAAATAAAAATCTGCCCATTTGACAGGTGCCTATCAAGGCATTTTCTTATAGTAGTTAATGGGGATTGGGACTTAAATTTTGGTCAAATTAGGGAGTTGCCCAGATTATCAAAGGCCCAAATTAGGCAGATTTGACTGTACATGGTATGATAAACCTTATGACTATTAATCGAATAATTAGAATATTGTTTTTGGTAGCAATTTATTTTTTCTTGGTAAATTTTTATCGATTCATTTGTCCACCATTTATTCAAATTACCCTTTTCGTCATAGTTTCTACCTATAAAAATTATAATTTACTATATCAAGTAATTCTACATTGTATTTATCTTATCTCTTCCTCTTAATCTTTTTACAAAACATAACATTTACCGTTATTATCAAAGCCGTGGCTTATTTCGTGGGATATAAGGCTTCCTATGGCTCCAAATAGATAAGTGCTATGATGAATATAAAATATAAATTTTATTTATTTATATTATACTAGCAAATAAACATATGGCTTGTGTATAAATATAGAAGATGTATCAAGTATAAAAAGAATATTTTGGGAAAAAAACGAATTCAGATGTGAATTTCATGATGAGGAAGCGTTTTTAGTGGTGTTGTTAAGCATTCGATTAGAGCCGATTTTTAATAACGGCTAACTCAAAATTTTATCAAGAAAAATATTAAACAAGCCTGAAGATTTTGCTCATAGAAGGAACAAAGGTCTAGACATATATTATCGAAATCTCTAGGCTTGGGCAATATTTTTCTGTAAAATATTGAGTTAGCCGTTTAAAAAATTGGCCGTTTAACAACACTAGTTTTAAGGATTATTTTTTAAAAAAATAATATCTCCAAAAAAAAAATGATATAAAGGTAATATTTTATTTTATTAACAGACAAATAAATATGAATAGAAACAATGTCTATAAAGGACCCTCTTAATTCGTCGCCCGATTGGATGAAGAAGGCCTAAAGAAGCGGAAAGGAGATTAAGTGTAAAATAAAAAGATGGCCAAGAGGAATAAGGACTCCATCTTTCTTCCTTCTTATTATACACAATTCTATTTCGTCCTTTATCTGCCCTATTCACTTATCTTCCTTTCCGACTACCCTAGCGGATAGAAGGAGAGAAAAAAAATACTTAGATATATTAAATATGGGTTTTTTACATATAATTTTTCGATGACAGATAATATTTACCCTGATTAATGAATCATTAATTAAAAATGCATTTCGGAATGTCGTTTGAATATAAAACAACTGATGGTATACGCCATTTTGTTTTCCTCATCGAATTTTTTTTAAGTGTTAATAAAATTTTATGAACATTATTTATATGGAAAACCAAAATGGTGTGCCTTTGGCTGATCTGTATGGATGCACATCTGTTTCAAACACACAATGTCTTTTCCAATTGTTACCAAAAAAAATATTTCGATTTGACCATATAAATAAAGTTTGGGAATAGTTTGAAATTCAAACTCTCCGAGGAAAATCTAGTCTTAGTATTATTAACACATATAGTTATTTTTTCTTATTTTTTTCATAGTTTTATAAAGTGTCATTTAATGCGTATGATTCCATCAATAATAGAGACCATAGCAATATATAAAGATACCGTCTTTCATTTGGAATCTCAGTGCAGTCACAGGGCTTACACTTAATCATAGAAAATGTGCATTTTATATGCCAGACATATATTTTTTTTTAACCATGAAAACCTCTGAATAGTATAATACTTTCTTCATCCAGGTTCACCTGATGGAGGTAAAGCAGCAATATCCAGATTTACTCTTAGCTCATTTAAAAATGATATATATATTTTTAAATTTTAAAAAATATTATTGATCGAAAAGATTTTGATTGTTTTTAAGTTAGGTAGAAGCAGCATAATTATATATTTTGCATAAATTATAATAAAAATTATGAATAAATAGAAAAACAATCTAAATAAAATAGGGTTCGGGTTCAAAAAAATCGCTAGGGTCTAAGAGTCTTGATTTACGATTGGGGTTGTTAGCTCTGGTTAAAATAGTACATAAATATCTAAGTAAGCAATAAATAAATTAAATAGTAAAAATGATAATTTTATTTATTTGTAAATTATCTTGCTAGTTTGCGAACTTAGACTAGCTAGAAACTAGCTACATTGTAACATTAAAAACTTGATAGTGAATGATATTTATAATAAATAATAATATTATTTCTCTCATACTTTGGATAGGTGATATCATAGTACGGTTTTTGCAAAAGTCCAGCCAAAAATGCTTGTGCGAATTATATAAATAAAAAAAATTGAATTATATTTGTATTTTCAAGGTTTCATTAAGCAAATTGATTACAAAAGTTTCAAATTTAAGACAATATACAAATTCTTAAATATTTATTTCAAGAATAAAACTTATATCGTTTTCGGACCATGAGTAATAAGCTTCAGCTAAATGAGGAGGTAAAAAGTATCTGTAATATAGCGTTTTTATTTATATTTAATTGTATATAAATCTATTTATTTAAAACTTTAAAGAATATCTTTTTTAATCAACTGAATGTCTTTGTCATTCTATTCTAAATGATATTCATAAACTTTTATATTATAAAAAAATTTTAAAACTTATTATAAATTTAAAAATTCCTTTGATTTATATTTTTAATTTTATTTGATTTATCTTTATCCTATAATATAATAACAGAAAGTTTAGTAAACCAATATTAAAAAAATATGGAAAAAACTAAATCTAATAATCTATAAAGGAAATTATCTATATAAAATGGTAGGAAAGGAAAAGACTTATTTTACACTCATGTTTATAATTTTTACAATTACCTTTCCTTATCGATAGGCTCAAAAAGTTTTTTTAATTTGTTTAAGTGGCTTGCAATATCTTGATTGAGGTAATTTTAAAGTATGAATTCTTTTGCATATTTAGCTTTGAAATAAAATAGACATAAAATAAATTTAAAAATTTAATTATATATTATACATAATAATATTATTATTTTTCAAATTGAATTTAAAAAAATCATATTGGAGCCTGAGGTTTGTTTAACGATAATTTGAATTTTATTTAAAAATAAAAAAAATATTTCTTCGGCGTAAATATTGAAAAGGTATTATTTTGTAACTTCTGATTTGAGGGGGCATGATGGAATGGAATCGGCATTGATTAAAGTAAACAAGAAAGATAAAATAAAGTTTTAAAATTTTTTTTATAAAATCAAAGCTTAATTAGTTATATTTAAAAAGGTTTGAATTTAAAAATATTCTAACTATAGATAAGAAAAACAAGGTGCATGGGATATAATATAAATTCATATTTAGGAATCCATAAAAACTAACCAAAATATTTAGCTAAAAGGGCCATTTTTATCGGAAAAAAATAATAATTTCAAAGATTTTAAACTTATTAAACTTAAAAAATAGATTGCGCTTTATTGGATAACAATGTGTGATATTTAATCATATTTTTCATTAGTGGTAAAAATATTTTTATTTACTCCTAGGTAATCTTTGTCCAGTTCATTGGGATTTATTATGTAGTCAGGATAACCAATTTTGAATTTCATCGCATCCACCTAATAAAAGTATTTATGAATTTAGTTAATTTTAAAAATCTGATATTAAAAAATTTACTATTAAACTTAACTGGTTACAAGTTGGGTAAATCAAAATGGTATATTAGAATAGACATATGTAGTTTAAAAGAATTCAGGGAAAATTTTTTATGAAACCTTTGCGATAGATCTAGCTTTGGTAGTTTTATCCATCCAATTAAGATCCTGCAAACTTTTTTTATAAGACAATTTTATCATATCAACCATTTCTTTTAGCTGAAAAATTTACAATTAATAGTATAATTTTTTTAAATTGACTTAATAGCTTTATCTATTACTTTCAATTTATCCCTCGAATAAAAATTGGATTTCAGGTAAAGGGAACTGAGTGGGAAATTCATAAACATGGGAAATTCTTCCAAACATAACTTCCAATCAGAACTAGTGTTATCTTTGACATTTGGATCATAGCTGAATTTTTTTGACAAATAACGTGTGAGAGGCCTTATCTTGTGCCACATTATGTAATCATGTAAAATTCTAATGGTATTTTATAAAATATATTAAACAAAATAAAATAGTTATGTGCTATAATTTTACAAAAGAAAGGAAAGAAGTAAATAATTTTTTTTGCTGACTTTCTTTTATTTGAAATACCTACCTAGATGAGTTTGGTTCATTTAAGTACTGCTTGATAAGGCTAGTTAACGCTTCCATGTAGGAGATGGACGTGACCCAAAAAGGATGATCGGCAGCTATGGAGATGTTGAGGGGTTTGAAAATTTGATTTATAAAACTTGTCCAATTCATCTAATTATAAAGGGGGGGAGGGTAATACATATTTTTTTATTTTTAGAACATTTATAAATTCATTACTGTTTTCTACTAAATTTTGCTTTTGAAATTGAATTAATATTTCACGAAAAAGTCTAATTTATTCCCTAAATAGTATTCTGAAAATTAGCCCAGGGTTATAGCAATATATAAATTTTTTTTTATCTTAAAGTTAGGATAGGAGGGACCTATAGGTTAATTTTTTTTAACCAAAAATATATTAATATATTTAAATATAAAACGCGTATACGGCTAAATAACCATCTAAACATCTCATCTTTAATGGCTACCATAATACATAGCAATAAACTATAATTTTTAAATTTATAACTTCAAACTAGCTACTTGCCTAATTTACTTACATAGTTTGTAAGTATTTAAAAAGTTAAAAAGATTTATCATTGAACTAACGAAATCAAAATTTTTATCCAACTCTTGCAACGACTGGTATTTCGTATCCTCCATATTTAATGGAGTAATCTGAATATAAAAGAAATATTTTATAATATAAATTTTAATAATGATATCGCCAAGATTAAAAATTATGTTATCAAGCAACTTTTTTTTATATTAAATGACTAAATATTTATCCTTTATAATAAGATATATCACGCTACGTGCCATTCAAATTCTAACTAAAAAAATTTTTTATATATAAATAATTTTAAAATTTCTATCATAATATTTAAAAAACTATCATATTGAAACAATTTAAAATTAAAAATAAAATTTCATAATTGTGTTCCCAAAAGGGAACCATAATTGTATCTAAAAATTCTTATCTGAATTTTTTGACGCATATATAAAAATTCTTTAGATTCGGTTGTAAAAAGCCGAATTTTGATATATTAGATTATGATTTTGGCAATTTCTGAAAAAGGAGCCTACTGGTATGGGAGGGGTACCATCATCTGGCTTGGTTAAAGTGATTAGGCATGCTATTTGGTGAGTTTGTATTGGGATAACCTTATTAAATATGTTATTACAAAAAGTTATTAAAATCTAGATGAGAAAGCTGTGGGTTTTTGAATTTATTAAGTATTGAAAATAGGAGTGTTTGAAACCATCAAGGCCAACTGCTGAATTTTTGTTGATAGCGTTGACTATTTCATCATTGGTGAAAATTGTAATCTGGTGGATTGGGAAGATGGGTAAATTATCTATGAAAGTCTTGGGATGTAGTTTTTTTAGTAGCAAATTTTTTTTCGGTAATAGGAGAAAGACGATTTCTGAAGATATAAGTTTAATTGCTCCGATGTCACCTTGATCTATTTTATTAGATTTTATTTTGCATTTGGGTGTTATATAATCTACTTGCATTTTATTGTTATGAGTGTAATTAATCATTTGGATAGTGTCAAAATTATCTATGTGTGATTTTATTTGTTCATGTAATGAGATCTTTTTATTAGGTGGACGTTTTATGCATTTTGAGAGGTTAGCCTTCCCATGATTTTTAGCAATTTATGTTGTTATTAAATTTGTGATAAGTTTTGTAACAAAATTATCATTTCTTTGCATGACTATGAATATAAGGTTTATAGTTGTTAAATAAATGTTTCAATTTCTTGTTACATATTTGTGGATACGTGTGTGGAAGTGTTAAACTAATGTGAGGTCCAGCCTGTAATTTGAATCCTGCACATCAAGACAAAGATGGATCTAGGAGACTAAATTTATTATCAAGGTTATCAGCAAGTAAAAAATTGTATTGTTTTTATAAAGATAAAATTATTTAAATATGTTTGTTTAACAACTATTAAGGAATAGGTTTTTAAATATTATGATAGTAATTTTTAAAATAAATTAACTAAGAGAAAAGCAAATATACAAATAAGTATTTTAAACACATATGAATGTCAATTATAAATCAATTCATATAGGAGTTAAGATTTTGCTAATGGGGATGGGGGGGGAGGGCTATTAGATAGGTTTAATCAGTAAACTTTTTAAGGCCTGTAGGTTCACTTATTGTAGGCCTTTAGTTCCACTAGGTTTAAAAAATTATTTTGGGGTTTTCGCTTTTATTTTTATACAAATGTTCTTAATGAATATATAATTCGTAATTTTAAAATGTTATAACCCCCCCCCCTCCCCATTTACCCCTGGCTAAGCCTAAATCAATTAGTATTAAAAATATTTTTTAAAAAATGGTCCCAATATTTACATTAAATGTGTTATCCAGAGTAATTAAGAGATATTAGAATTCAGTAATAGAACATTCTCAAAACTTTTATCAATAAGGCATCCCCATTTATCTGCACAGACATTTTTTTGCAGCAATAAAACTTCTACCGCACTTAACGACAGAGTGATGTTATATCTTATGAATAACAACTTTATATTGGGAAAATATTTAAATAATACTAAAATCCCGACATCACATTTTAAATAAAATCATTCAAAATCTTATGAGGGTGATCAAAATCTATATCATTATTTATTTCCTTTAAGCGAGTGAAAGGGGAAGGGGAGGGGGTTGAAGTGCTGAAAACAAATCTGATATTAAATTATTTAATTTTCTGAGGAAACTTTAATAGTCAATCATCTAAGATTCAAAATTTATCATGTTGTCATTTATTACGTAAAATAAAATATAGTTAGTTTTTGTAATAAAGTAAATTTGGACATAATACTTAACAATTTTAATTAAAAATATAGATAATACTAAAAAATATCTAGCATTCTTGCATTTATTTCTTATAAGTATTGTAACACCAGCGTATCCTCATACTTCCATTTTTTCTCAGTAGTATTTGTCCATATTCTTTTTTATATGAAGTTTCAATATTTTATTTTACTACTTCAGTTGTTCGTTATTTGTTAGTAGGTTATTCCATATTCGTTTACTGCGAATCCTTTATTCGATATTAGCGTTAATCGTATATTGTGCTTCAGTTAATCGACCTTCGTTTACTATATTTAATTAACAATTATTGTTCGGTCATCAAATACTCATCAAGTTGGATATGCAAACCAATAATTGATAATATTCGGTTTTTTACAAACTTTCAAATTTGAGGATAATATCAGATTCCCGCACGATCCTACCATTTAGATGACAGAAATATGTCGATTTGATATATTACAGTCCCAGAAACCTATGCCGGATTTTTCAAAATTTAAAAATGACACGCCATTTATTTTCTACAAATCTCCCACTAGGACAAATTTATTACAAAAAAAGAATGATTACGAATGACAAGGGGAATAAAGAAATTAGCTCTTAAAAAAAGAAACCAAAAAAGATTGACATTTCAGGATAATACATTTTTCCATTTTTTTTATTGAGAATTTTCTATTTTTTTTAAATGACACTTTTCCATTTTGATTGACATTACGTTTCTTTTAAAGGGGGTATTAAAATGGTTATATTATGAGTTGACTCGTTTGTGACATTTTTTCGATTTCATTGATTAATGCCAATATTTCAAATTGTAAAATTTATTCATCGACCCCAATTCAAAATTTCAATTATGAGTATATATTTTTTTTACTTCACCTGCTTAATAATTAATCAATATAATTGTTTTCTATGAATAAATAAAATAAAATTTTACATTCGCTATAAGCTTCTCTAAATCTAATATATTTGACATAACGTTTCTGAGTTGACTCCACATCTGTTTCTTCTTCTCTTTTTGGGTCCTATTAAGATCACTTTTATTAATGGCATGCTGATTGAATTTAATATTCTCGTCTAGCATTTCCAAATACTTAGAAACAGTTCGATTCTTTAATAACAAATTTCCAATCTTTGCCATGTACATCAAAGAACTATTATAAAGATCATTGTCGTCGTAGTAATCCTTGTGTGGGAAGGTTAGTTCTCCTGGAAAGATGAAGAGTAAGTTCTTGGAAGAATTTTTAGGATCGAGATGAATATCTAGACTAAAGAACACAGAATTGAACTTGTCAGGAAAACCTTTTTCAGGGTATCTGACTATTTTTTTTAAAAGAAAGGGATTACCTTGAAAGAAAAAAAATATTTATATTAAGGAGTAGTGTATTTAAACGACTCGTTTGAGCCGATTTTTAAAAACGGCTAACTCGATATTTTAGCCAGAAAAATATTGCCTAAGCCATGTGATTTGGCCAATAGATGTCAAACAAAACCTTTGTTCCTTCTACAAGCAAAATCTTCAGGCTTGCCTAATATTATTCTGGATAAAATATTGAGTTAGCCATTTTAAATATCGGCTCAAAAAGAACCGTTAAAACACTACATTGGAGTAAATTCATCATTTATTAAAGTGAACTGCATCGAGCTTTTTTGAAAAATTTGTTCCATTCAGCTCGATCCCTTGTTCCGAAAAGCCCGACCAGAAACAAAATTGAAAATTATTATTTGGCATGGGCCATATATTGATATCAAAAAATGTGACCACAAAATAAATATTGCTTAAAATTTTTATCTAGAAAGTTAATTTTACAGAGTTTGAATAAAGTTTTAATAAAGGAATGTATGTTTAAAATAAATAAGATGAATTAGAAAAACTTTTTTTCAGTGTGGAAGAAGCATTTATGAAAGCGGAAGACTTTTTATACACGTTTAACAAGTCCCAACCTCCATATAAATCTAATAGTTTCTTTAAAGGCATTCCTTGCAATTTTTTTCTAACGTTGGTCTTATCTAAACAAGAATCATAATAGATCTTAGCTTGTCTTTCTGCCATTCCTTCGTATTTTGTATGTGGATTTTCTTTATTTATTTATGGAATATGATTTAATAGGATTTAAAATAATAATCTATTAAATTAAATAAGTATTTTACTATGATTTAAAAATAATTAATGATTTGCTATTTCTAAAATTAGTAAATGCTATGGTAGATAGTCGTTTCGCTATGTGTTATTCAATAGCGATATAAAAAATTATTTTACTTATGTTTAGCCTATAAAATAAATAAATTCTAGGGAGGAGCCTAATTAATGTAATTAATTCCTAATTATAATTACAATTATACTTATAAATTCTGCTAAATATAATTACTAATTCCTTTTCTAAACGATACATTTAAATTTAATCGTAATGGCCTAGTTATATTCATTTTCATTTTACTTGTAAAAAAATTATGAGTGGATATTAATAAAAAGTCCTAAACATTATGACAAATTAAATAAATCTGAAATATTTATATATTTATCAATTCTCTTTATATAATATTCATGTCCACCCCCCCCCCCCTCATTTAGATACTTTCTTAACAATTCTTTTTCTCCTCTCCAATTCCCTCTTCCCGTGCAGTCTTCCAATCTCCCCTTAATTATCATTCCCCATCTCAACCACTATACTACACTCCGCACCCCTAACTTTCCCTTCTCTTCTTTTGTCTTCTCTTTCCTTCCTTTCTTCCTTCCTTCCTTCCTTCCTTCCTTCCTTCCTTCCTTCCTTCCTTCCTTCCTTCCTTCCTTCCTTCCTTCCTTCCTTCCTTCCTTCCTTCCTTCCTTCCTCCCGTTTGTTACCTAATAAATCTTTTATGGTCAAATAAATTGAGTCAGAAATTTGCATAGCATAATTCCATTTAGGATATCCGGTTGGAAGCATAGTTTTCCGCTCGTAGCCACCGCAAGCAAATTCGTAAAAGTCTGTGCATGGATCCATATCTTGATTCATTCTATACGTTATTTCACTTTCAAAATTCTTGGTTAAATCTTTTTGAAAAATAATATATACCATTTTACACCAATTTAAACTTATTATATCTTAACAATAAAAAAAATAGTTTAAAAGATTAAAAATGTAATATTTCATATATATAATTATAATATATCAAAATGTTTGAACCTCCATATTATAATTAATTAAATATTATAATACGAATTTTATAATAATTATAGATTATTCATATTTATTAATATAAATATAATTAATATAAAATTATAAATTGCAAATATTTGTAATTATAAATTATTTCAAAATTTATGGGAATGCTATTTTATTAACAATGAACAAATGTCAGGATAAATGCCTGGTTATGTGAAAATAAAATGGACAACGCTTATTTTCATGAAATAATTTTGTCACAATAGATGGAATAAAGAGAGAAAGTAGAATAGAAAATATTATTAAAAAATTAGATAAGATTTAAAAGAAGTAATTGATTCTGAAAATATAAAATGCTCTAAAGCAATTAACACCACTTCGAATATATTAAATCTGGGCAAATAAAATATGCATCACTAATAATGATCCATAATAAATATAATTATAAAAAATATTATGATAATCAAAGATATTACCATACTAATAATATAAAAGACTAAAAATCTAAAAGTCAAAAAAAAAACGATAAAAGATCATAAAATTAATAATGATATTGAAGAAAATAATATAAATATAACTTGATAAATAAATTAATCTCTGGAAGGTCCCGTTTTTCAATTTTTCATTATAGTTTATATAAAAAAAAATTTATATGAAAAAAAATATTAAATGTAAAGATTTTTAGGATTCTTTCGTGCACTTTTAAAGATAGAAGAAGATGTTTCTGAAATGATTTTATAGAATAAAAAAATAAAGAGGGTGTTTAATTAATTTAAAAGATATGAAAGCAAATTTTTCTTTAGATATCAAGTTAAATTTAATATGAAAACGCAAAATTTTATCTTATCATATTTTTTATGAGGCCTTATCTAAGTCTCTGCTATCACCACAGAAGTATCGTCATTAGTAAGGGGGGGGGGTGCATAGGGGTTTGAATCTCCTGAAAAATTTGAAAAGCTATTAATGCCATTGTCGCCGCATATAAATGAGAGATCATTTTAACATTGAATAGGCTATAGGTTACAAAAGGGCAACCTACATTAAAATGAATAATTAATGGTCCATGCATTCATCATTATATGTTATTTAAATAATAAATATTTTCTAAAATCATTATCTTTATGGTGTCTTGGATTCTATTTTTAATAAGTGAGAAATTTTAATATAAAATAAATCTCTAATATTATGAATAGAATTTAACATATTTTAGTCAGAGGAGTTTACATACTACTTTCTTAGATAAGATATTACTCGATCCTTTTTGAAGATTATGAACATTCTGTTAAAATTTCTTTCAGTGCATATATTTATAAATTATAAATGTATTGTATAGTTTATTTTAATTCAATAAAAACTTACTACCCTTCTGAGTAAAAGCTAGTAGGATGATCGAAGACATAAGTGTTATTGTTAATATTGATAAATTCAATCGAAAATTTTGATTTGCCATTTCAGATCGTTTTTGTTAATGCGATTTTAAAAAAATTGGATAATTTATTATTAAAACTGGTATACTTTTTTTTAAGTAATTGAATTTGCAAATTTTAATTAAAATATATCATAAATAATTATAATTATTAAGTGAAAATATCTTAATTATTATTTTTTTAATATGAACTTTTTCTGTTAAAATACAACAGTATTTTAACAAATATTGCTAATGTATAGCATAAATCTATGAAGAAATTGTTTAGAAAAAATATAAAAATTTTAATTAGTTTTTTTATGACCTTAAATAAATTCCTAACTTCAAATTATATCAAAGATATTATTTGAAATATTGCTGCAGCCAGCATCTATATAAAGGAAAAAAACTTTAATTTGTTATTTAGCTAGATAGATAATAAGTTTATATCAAAAGACTAAATTTTTGATAAAATTTTATAATAAAATTTTCATACAGCTTGCCTTGAATTAAAAGAAAAATATTTTTGCAAGGCCAAATGTTTTAAATTATTGATCATTTTTATTTGTCCGACCCAAAATCAGAAATTTTTTAAAATTTTATATATTTTAAAAAAATTTAGTTCTATTTTTTTTTTTATTTTAAACTTGAAATAACTTTGAATGAATTCATGTTAAACGGATTCATTATATAGTTTTCCGACACTCTTCCAACCAATTGATTTATATTTTTTTTAAAACAATAATAGAAAAAATTATTTTACTATTCTATATTCCTATAAGAAAGGATTTAGCCTATAGGTTTCTGGTCATGTTGGTGCCCCTGATATTATAATAAACATTAAATATAAAAAACGATAACAGGAAAAAAACATTAAAAACATTCTTCAAAAGTTTAAATTTTTTTTTTCAAATTAGACCTCGGTGATGTAGTATAAAAAATAGAAATTTATAGGCCCTGAACCCGGCACGTAAATATCCTAGATGGAGGCCATAAAATTATATTAATTTCAAAAAAATTTGGACCGGGTTTTCAAGAGTATTGTAGAAACATGAACAGGACCAGACCCTAAAAATAATATATTATTAAAACCTGGGTTGGGCCTGGGTATTTTAATTTAATATAATTGATCATTTTAACGATCATTTACTAATCGCATTTTCGAGTTTTTGGCAAAAATTTATTTAAAATAACAAAATTTTACAAATCCAGGAACCGTAAAAAGAATTTAAATTTTTTTTAAAAAAATAGTGAGAGGTAGGCAATGAGTTAAAAAATAAAAATAAAAATTGTCCCAAATTTGAAAATAAAGATATTATTCGGGTCGTTCTATCTCAAAAATTTGACATCCTTATTAATAATTAATGATTAATACTAGGAGTAAAACAAATTTTATGTTTATTGAACCCGAGTTTCTAATTGAGTTGTGTATTTGGCCCATCAAATACATCGGTTAAGTGGTCGGCTTTGATATCGGGGTTGTAATTACTAGATAGTAATTGTGGGCAGCTGTATGGATATTTTTATTACTTGAATCGCTGATAAATGTTATTTACCGGTAAAATACAGCTAAATGTTCTTTATTTTTTTTTGATTATATATATAACACATAAGTATCATTCTGATAAAATCAGATAATATTATTAAGCAATTCAACTATTCAAAAAATTCTGTATTTATAGTAGTTCTAATCAAAAAATTGAAATCAAAATGAAAATTATCTACTAGATTATGTAGCATAATTTAATTATAGAAGCAACACATTATATTATTTCTAATGATTATGATCAGTTGCTTATATAAAGGAAAGAAGGTCAAATCTAGCATTAAACCCCCCCTCCTTAATAATTTTTTATTTATTAATGAGACTTTATGATATTTGAATCATAAAACAAAGGTTAAAAACCATTGAGAAAGCCCAAAATCAATGTATTACAAGGATTTTAATTTATAATATCCTTTGATTTTATAATTTCATTATCAACATTTATTAGAATCCAATATCTAAAATTATATAATGCTGGATATTAGTAATTTAACTCTTATTTTTTTAGAAAAATTGGATCCAACTTTTCTAAAATAAAATTCTAGATACACCACTGATTAAAAATATTGCAACAACTGTAAATTTGCACAAGAACGCTTAAATCCATTCATCGTAAAAGAAACTCTTTCACTATAAAAATATATAAAGAATAATTTTCTACTTATAAAGCCAGTAGTGTGTTTTGCAAATTTATGACATACTGTTCTAAGTAAAAAAAATCTATAGAAACCAATATTTAACTTATCTATATAAAACCTCTATACCTCTATATAAGCCCAAAAAGCTATTATTTTCAACCAATATTTTTTCCTGAATATAAATATAATAATACCTTTTAGTATTTAACGCCAACTAACGAGAAAAATTATATACTTTTACAGACATATTTGACAATTATAGAATATATTACAGTTTATATTTTAATAAACTTTGCTAAATGGTTTTGATAATAAATATATGTAACAATTTGCATTCAATACCTTAACGCCATCTATTTTAAAATAGTATTGTTCAAAATCAAATATATTATTATTCATCCAACAATAGATGTAATCTTATTAAATATCTTTTTTTCCTTCTAATTTTATGTGTTTTGAGGAAAGCTATTTCTTCCTTCTTTGTAAAACAATTTTGTGTTAAATTTTTAATATACAAGTATATTTTTGATATTATTACAAACTACCATTATTTTAAGATATAATGTACCAATTAGATGTGGTGCAAGAATTTATGTAAAATCTTAATTGCTTTCATCATATCACTCTGTTACAAAATGATTCATTTATAATATGGCATTCTTACCATATAATTAATTCAAGGTTCAATATATTTGAATTTTTATTCTAAAGATTTTTACTGCTTTTGTTTTATTAATTTATATAACAAATTCTTATATGAGTTTAAATGGTAGGTGTCATGGCCATGACTAAAAATTAATCAGAATATATTATTTGTGTGGCTATGAATTTAAGATTATTACTCCTGCTGCTAAGAGCATTTAATTGTATTATTTAGATGAGCAATAACTGTCTAGTCATTTATATATCATTAAAAATGGAGGATAATCTTTTAGAAATTTAATGTTTCACAATAATTTTATCGATCATTTGAGCTTCCATAATGTCGTCTAGGTCTAACCACCATATAGTTTTATGATTTGGATTAGTCGTTTATATTATCTTCTACAAGAATTATTGATTTGGTTAGGTCTACAAATTTTTCCTTATTAGTCACTTTTATAAAACATTGTCTGAAATGTTAACACAATGTTATATTAGTTTAATGACCTATTGCCAATATAGGTAACTAAGAATTATATTGCCTTGTGTGGTTTTTAAAAACCATTATCAATTGAGGGTAACCTTTTTTTCACTTATAATTATTTAGGCAAAATATTTT